AAAAAAAAAAAAAAAAAAAAAAAAAATAGCATATCGAAATACAAATTTTATATATTTTGTATACAGCACCAAAGTTACAGTTTTTATTTCTTTTTTTTTTTTAATTTCATTACACATTTTACCACGATACGCTTTCATACACGTACATATTCAAAAATAAAAGTGCATTGAAAATTTTTTAAACGTTTTCTCATGCATTTAGTACTTTACATTGTTAATACGCCATTAAAAATATTGGATAAAAATTTCACGGATACAACTCTACATTTAAAATTCAAATGTTTCAATTAAGTTTGGCCATCACCAGAAACTAGAAACAAAGACGAATCGAAAAACTAATATTCGAAGATGACAAAATTCCCAAGAAATACGATATAAAACTACGGAGACAGTTAATTACAAGATGACTTAATATATTTATATATATAGAAGCCGAAGCACATTTCTCTATCCTTTAAAGGAAGACGTGGCAGACAACCAGTGCACAATACAATTCCAAACTTTACATTCCCTCGACACATTCATCTCGCAGGTTGGCCCGCGCGAAAGACGTCCAACGGAGGAAAAAGGAGGACTTCCGTTTCAATTCGGGCTATTTACGAACCGGCTCTGTGAAACCTGCGGCACGGTGAAACTACGTCGGACAGAGGTAATACAGACCGACGCTGGCCCATCTAACCATCTCGTAACGCGCGGCTCATACATCACCATCTGAAGTATCCGGTATTATTCCCGCGCGAGCACCGAGCACGCAATATCCTGGCCCCGTGACAACAAAGTAAATACCGTATACGTGAACCGACAGAACGGAATAGAAATTTCGACGTGAAAATACGCCAGCCCATTCACCGGCCGCCGTTTCGATTTTCGTTTCGTTGTTTCGCCGTTGTTCACGAAAAACAACACCCTCGAAACCGTCCGCGTTACGATCGTTTCCATTTGTACACGCTGTAACATTAATCCGATACCGGTTGGTTGATACCGACGGTTATACGACAGCAAAAACTTACGCAGTAACGAGTTGGCGACGGGGCGAATGAAATTTCTTCTATCTTTTCAGATTCGGGGATCACTCCGCCCCTCACGTTTTCTGATATGTCGCTGGCCAGGTTATAGTACGTCGGATCTGGGCATATAATATTAATATAATATTAAACACTTGTAACCTTCTTTCTTTTTGATCGATTCGTATTGCTTGGTCGTCCTTAATGGATCAGAGAATGATTTTGGTAGAATTTTCTAGATTGATTTGACGGATCTACCTGGCATGTCTTCGATGTCACGTGGACTCTTTGGCAATCGGCTGCTACGCGTTCCGAAGGGAGGAGCTAATCGGGGACAGAGGAAATCACATTTATCACGATTTGCCCTGAAAGCCGTTAAGACGTCGTAAGCGCCAGGATCCGGGGCTTTCTATAAATAATGAATAATAAGGGTTCGTGATTTTTGGAATGGGCGAGGGTATTGATTAGATTTACGCGCCGGTCGCTTCGTTTCCAATACACTTTTATTTCCATCTGCAGAAGGACCATGCGTACGTATTCTTACGTATAGAAAGAACAATTCTCGATAATCCTTCTGGAAGGATTGTTCGTTTTAAAGATGCTACAAAGCTATAAAGTAGGAGAATCTTCCGAGAATCGTCTGATAATGCAAAGGATTTCACAGGCATTTGCTCGCGAAAGCTTCGGCATTTCTTCGTGCCGTTCGCTGGGTTATCTTTACTACGATTCCCTCGTAATCGATTACATTCGAATCACCAAGCATAAATCCATTTCCTTCCAGTATTTGATCAGTGTTCGTCAATTAAGCACCGGCAGTCTTCTCGATAATTCGATCCGACGACAACGAACGATCCTCTCGAGATTCAGAAATGAATACTAAACGTCGATACTAGAGACGATCCGCGTTTCGAGGGTGGATAGACATACCGGGCCAGGGATTGGCTCGAATTTCCGGCTCGCTGAGCCGGAAGTGATTTCTCCGGGCTACGTCGGCCACGCGTCTCTACGTGGAAATGACCTGCAGAGTATGGCAGAACGTCATTTCCGTCGCTGTCGAGTTACGACGCTTCTCTACTTTATGTAAATACCGTCGTCCCTGAATCTCAACGACGTCCTCATCCTCCTTCAACTGCGACGTCCCTTATCCGACGATCGTAAGAATTCGCGGCGACACCTTCTTCCTGCGTTTTATCGTCCTGACGCTGTAATTTCGTACGACAAAAGAGACGTACAACTTCTCCTCGTGCTTCCAAAATCGACTTCCTTCACTGAGATGTCAGGCAAATTCTATTAAAACCAAGCAGAAATTCCTCCAATCTGTCCGTCGGGAACTCTCTTTCCGAGTGGCTCTTTGTGTCTCGTTTAGCTCGACCAATTTTCCAGGTGTGACCGTGGAAATTCTAATCTCAGCTCGATACTTGCACCCCCAAGCCAAGGTAATTGCGAGCCAAGTGGACGGACCGGAAACCACAAGCTGCCTCCTTGATCCAAGCGTAGTGGCTCCGAAAAACGGCGTTTAATGAAATTTCTGCGTGTCAACCTGTCAAACGTGAACTTAGTGCCTCTCAAAAGCCGAGCCTCACAGAAGGATTCCACCTTTCAGCGTGGAGGAACGCGCGGACTTCAAAGGAGACGGCTGCGACGAAAGCAGGAACACGCGTTGTTCTGCTTGTGTCCGCAGTCCTATCTTGGCCTATCTGTGGCTACACCGGCCAACCAAGATTCGACGGTCTCTCGATTAACGGGCAAATTGGATCCTGGCCTCGAATCGCCCCGGGTACAGATGCATCGCTTCGATCCATCGCCATTAATTTCGTCGCGACCTCTCCTGATTACCTTGCGCTCCGAGGATTACCTGGAACCCAGCTGGTTCATGGGTTTCCGGTTTCCTCGTACGAAAGAATCCCCCGAAGCCGGTCTGACCGCAGACTTATTGTGACTACTGGCTCTCGAGTAGCCTGACGCTACTATCTCATTAAAGGAATTGCACCGCTCCTGGTTAACATTTTCAATTTGGAAGTGGTTGGTCCCTTCTGATGGCTGACTCAGCTTGTTTAAGGGGGATTTTCATCTTCTTTTTCGATTACGAGGACACGTATGTAGAGGGTAAGTCTTCTCGGAGGAATCGTTAGAGATTCTTCTTTTGTTCTCTCTTTTTCAGAAGTGGTAAAAACTGATTTATGAGAGAGATTACTGGCTAATAGAAATTGTCGAATATTTCTTAGTACACTAACATTGTTTTTTCGGGGGCATTTGATTTATGTAGTTTGGTTGAACGAATATAATGGTGGTGACATCTGTACGTGATATCGTGTCAACTGAAGAAAGGACTAAATAAAATCTAGAATCGTTTGGATTTGGTTCAACGTGGTAATTTCTTTTACAATTGTCACTGCTTTATAAGTATCATTAAATAATTGTTATGTTACGTTATATTCTCTAATTAAGATTGAAGAAAAAAAGAATTTGCACCTTTCTGATTTCAAGGAATCTCGTTGTCTTAGATTTAAAAGCAGCATGATAAACGGCACACTTCTTTTCTTCGGTTTTCTCTGTAGAACGCACGTCATCATAATCTTCTATATCTTGATACAAAGAAATTGTTTCGAAACATCTCCGTGGATGTGTCTGTCTCAAAAAAGCATACTTGCATCGCTTCTCTGACTCGTATGCTAAGTTGCCGACACTCAAATGGTAATCGCTAGGTCCTGAAAGGGACACGTGCTCTTTCGATAAGACACCAACTATTTTATTCGATTATAAATTCATATTTATGATAAAACTCATTAACGAGTTTTTTTTTTTAATTATTGAGTGCTAGAATTGAAACAGAAGACAATCTAACCCGGTCCAGTGTCTTCGGGAACTTTTTGAAAACGACCAGCACAGGTGCCAAATGGCGCAAGATAAATTGATCCTGTACATTTTAATAGAACAGGTGGATCGTATGTACCTGGACCAGGTACATCAGATGCCAGTTTATCTTCGAATCTCTAATAAAATATAAATTTCCATTGTACACAAAAATTCTCTGACGGAATCATTTCAGAGAACTGTACCTTGGCAGTTTGGCCAAATGGAGGTGGTTCTGTGACAGAAGAATCACACTTGCAATCAATCTTGAAGACTTTGTCAAAATTGCCCTTTATGTTATATGCATTCGGTGCTGGAAAATTCTATATTTAAAGATTTACTCTGAACGTCATCAATTAGCAATATAAATTCTATATGAAGTATTCCAATATAATTTTGTGTCGAGTAATTTCAAATTACTTCGTTCGTTTTTCTTCTGTACAATGTGTCAAGGAAACGTGATTGGCGAGAAGTCATTCTCCTCTCTTCTCTTATTTTCTCGTCGTAAATCTGAGCAGCTGTTTTCTTGGTTTCATGTTCGTAATCTCCAGGGCCCGGAGCCAAAGAGGGTCGAGCCTCTTCCCTCCCTGTCATTCTGCTCCAAAAGTTACCTTTGTAGAGTAATGTCGTCGTATTTGCTTCCTAAAAATTCGGCATCTCATTTTTCGAAATATTCTCCATATCATACGCACACAAGCTGTTTCTGAATTTTTGGCAGAACAAAATTTTTACTTCTCGAGGAACATTATAGAAGAAAATTGGTTTCTTCCTGAGAAGAGGATTCTTTACTAGACTTCCATACTGATTGATACTGTATCCTGTGTAGTTTTTATCTGGAACCGATGTAGCGGTGGGAACAATCGAACGAGGGGGTCGAGTTAACCATAGCTGTAATTCATTATCAAATGAATTTAACACAGCATTTGGTGCCACGATGAATATTTTACTTTGCCCATGGGACCTTTCCGGGCACCAGGATGAGATCTTGTTTTTCGCAATTTAATAAAATCTGTAGCTACGTGGTAATCAAGTGGACCTGGTCCTTCGGATATCTTCTCCTTAAATCTGGCATCCGTGAAATCAATACTAACACCGCCCTGTAATTTACCATTCTTTCACCATCGCGGATTCTTGTCTAGATTCAATTTCGGAGAATTTAATTTTTGGAAACTACGTTCAGGTATATGTCGTATATGGGGTTCCTTTGTATTGTACGTGCCAGGTCCTGGTAAACTTTCGGCATCTCTTGGTATAGTAATCGTTCTTCTCTTTGATCCAGAGAGAAAGGGGTGAAAGTCAGCTATCAGAAGAATTTCATGTCTTAATGTTTCTAAGTATTTTAGATTACTTAATAATATAATACCAAGATGTCTTTCAAGCGGAGGCAAGTCCGATATGTCGTAAGTTCCTGGCCCAATCTTAGGAGATGTTTGACTAATTATTTTTGGAAATCTTTCTGTTCTATTGTACGCCATTCTTTTTTATAATTTAAGAAAAATAAACGTAGCGATAGAAACATTGAAATTGTAATCTAATCTGTTGTATGCTGGAAACGCATGTGAATTATGCTAAAAGTTAATGAAATTCTATCAATCGATTGCTATCGGTTTTAAGGAATTCGATTGTTCATTTCACGCCATTTACGGAACATCCATTTCAAAATAAGTGCTTTCATTTACATAATTCTGTTTTTATTGTATCATCCCGATGCAAGAAAAATTATTTGTTTGTAATAACTACAACAGGTGACGTATTCGCGCATGAAGGACGCTGTTTTCACTTCTTTAACCTACTTTTTCACAATGTTCGCCTTGCATAAATTTTCAGCCGGGTCAGTTAATAATTTCGTTCTCGTTACGCGAAACCCATTAACGTTTTGACGCCGAAGTAAGAGATTATCATTTGCATCAAAATGAAAATAATTCGCGGGTGCGCTTGTGGAAAGTGAAGGGTTCTACGACGAGCAACTTGCATGTTTTGCAAGTGATATCTCTTTTATTGCATCATTTGAGAAATGTTGCGTATCACAGATCGATTAATATTAAATTTAAAACCTCTTTTTACACGAATCTTGCGTAAAATTACGCAAACATTTACTAATTTTCTTCGGTTCTTCTGTTGATGTAGCAATGCTTCCTGAAACAAACTTAAATTCCAAAAATTTTAGCAAAATTATATAAAATGCATTTAATTGCCAGTAAGAAATGTATTGCAGCCTGCTGACAACCACCTTTGTACAGCTTTTTCAGCTGCGTTAGGTGATTTAGGTACATACTTCCACGATTTCAGTGGATGAAATTTGAACATTTTATAAACGCAACACTAGTTGAAGTAATTCAAACAACTATGATAAGAAAATATCGTAACACTGATAAATGAATTTAATAAAGACATTCTATAGAAAAAAGAAAAGTTACTTGCTATTCACAACATACACAAAGAACAATATTATGAAGTTAATTAAGAATTAACATTTTTTCTAATTCAGTATTCAATAAAATAAAAAGAGACAAATTATAACAATTAATCTTTAAGAATACTCTTAAGAATTTATAATCAATAATAAGAACAATCACGATATCTTATTCGTAACAATATTTCATTACATCGCAACTCTAATACAATTCGTAATTAATTTTTCGTAACACTAATAAAAAAAAACCGCGATTT